TACTTTGCAAGATATAGAGTGGAAGGCTGCTTGTACACTTGCACTTACCCAAGGACCAAATCCATATTTCAGGATTCGAACCCTTGACGCGGCATCTTCAAACAAAGTTGAAGTTTTTCCACCATCCCCTTTTACCACTTGGAGATGTGTCCTGGGGGCAACTTTTGACTTTCTATCTCACAATGAGACCCATGTGTTGAAAAACAACAGTCACAAAATTAAATAATAATGAGAAACAAACGGGTTAGTAGAACGTGTCCCTACTAAAGCTCCATCTTATCCCTCGAAATCTAATTGCAACCACAAATATTGCTCCATCTTATCCCTTTGAATCAAAGACTTCAACATATAAATCTTGTAGGCGAATATTGTAGCGTTAAGATGGAGCTTTTGTGGTTGCAATTAGATTTCGAGGGATAAGATGGAGCTTTTTCAGTGAGAGAAATGGAAAAATTGGACATAGGAAAAGGAAAAAAATAAAAGAGAATCTAATCAATTATTGCCTTTTTAGAAAAAACTCAAGACAGTATGAAAAATAATCCAAAATTTTCTTCATTTTTTTCCGAACTATCAATTTGAAAGACTGTACCACCAACCCGACAACATCTGTCATGTTAGTTTCTTTAATTTTGCCTAAATTATTGCTCGCATAAGGCTAATATTTAGATGCAAAGCTAACATCGATAAAAAATGAATAATTAAATAAGAAATAAANATATTTAGATGCAAAGCTAACATCGATAAATAAAATTTAATATTTAAATAAGTAATAAAGAAATCCGACTATAAGCAAATCTTTCAAAATCAAGAAACAAAGAAATTTTGATCAAAAAGTAAAAAGTCTTATTTCTAATAAATTTGAGAAAGGAAAGAGCAAAATGTCTCGAATAACAGTCTTTCATGTGATTCTTGCGCAAGTCTTTCATGAAGGGGGTGACATGGCACTTAGATGGTCAAACATAACGGCTGCACTGGTGTAAGTGAAATAACGTGAAACGTTTTTGAATAAACCCGTTTTTGAATAAACCCCCTTCAGTTAGATCTCGCATTCTCCCAAAATCCCAAATTTCAACCCCTCCATTTGCAATCCTCTCTCACGGACATTTCATCGCCGGCAAAGATCAAACCAGGGAGGTTCCCACTTCTGGCCACATAATGAAGATTAAATTGAAAACATCTTACCCATGTTGTCGCCGGCGTCGCAGTTGCAGGCGTGGGAGTTGCCGGCTTCCCCTTCATCTCCGTAAGAGAATGTCTCGGGGTCAGCGTGTGGGGAGAAAATAAAGGGTTCGCCGACGTGTGGTCGCCGTCGTCCAAGTCGACGGTTACGTCGACTGAGTTTTCAGGTTGCTCCATTTTCGCTGGAGCTTCTTCACTGCACCGGTCCTTCATAGAAATGACGAGAGTTTGGGGTTTTGCTTTTTTTTTTTTATTATTATTTTTGTGTTGAATTTTCAAAGACCCAGCCACATCAGCATTAAGTAAAGCATGTAGTAGATCAGTGAGTACGTCTAGCACTTCCCAAAGAACATTAACCTGTACGAGGGA